GAGAAATGTTAACCATTTCTGTTTGGTTGTTGTAGGCACTTCAGATTAAGTGGTTCAACTTATTTTTTTGGGTGTGTCATCTCTTTTTTTTTTTTATAACAGTGTGTCATCTCTTATTCTTAACTTAAATTCAACAGAATTAGCTCCAAGATTAGTGTTTCTTTTTATAACGTGGTTTCTGGGCCAGCTAGTGCGCACCTCGAATATTCATGAGGTACTTGCTACCTCCCGCTAACACGGGTACCAGATAACTTGGTCTGCCAAGGCTTAGACAAATATGTTTTTGTCTAAACCTTGGTCACACCACTTCATTGACCACTAGGCCACACCTTGTGCTCCAAGATTAGTTTTTTCTCCTTGCCTTATTTCAAACAATACAAGTAAGAAGAGTAGATTGGCAAAAATATAACTTGTATAATCATAACATCTACTATCATTTGTGTTGAGATTGTGTCCTGAATATGGCTACTGGGAGTACATTGAATTTTTTAGTTCGAGTCCTATGGATATTTCTGGTTTTAATGCTTCTTATGGAAGATCACATGGACATGGAAGACTGAAATAGAGCCTGTATTCCTTGTAGATCTTTTGTAGGATATTCTTTCTCTCAAGATTTTGTGAAGAGAAGTCTAATGCTTGTGGGAAGTTCCTGAACGGCCAAAAGTAGGTGCCAACTGTATCTGGATATAGGTGATCAGGTTGAAATTTACCTGATGAAGCTGCACCTATGTTTAGTTTTTATTATTAGGTCTAGAAATCTGATGTTATAGGTATTTTCATTGTAGATCTGGCTGGCCCTGTGTATAAAATGTTTTGTGATTGATGATAGCTTCTAAATTTAACTCCACTAGGCCTATGAGTGAATCTTCAATGCGATAGATAACTTGTATCATCCTAGCCTTTACTTGTATAGGGAGACGCATTGAAATCAATTGTTTTCTGCTCTTGGTAATGCGTGAGGAAAATTCTTTGGTAGACTGAGTGTCAACTTTCCAATCATAAAAAATGAATAAAGTCTGCTACATTAGGTTTTTACCTTAAGATGGAGGAGTTTAACTGCCTCTACATGAATTCCTTTCTCAGTAGATGGTTTTCCAACACTTGTCTAAAATTGTACGGCACATCCTCGAATACCTAAATGATCTCAAATGAACTTTACAGTTCATGGGGTAAGTTATAGAGCATTGGGTAGTAATATAGCTTTGGATTGAGGCATAGTTGTTATTCTAATAGAAATCATTTTTTACTGCATGTTTTGAACTGATAAATTCTTTGAAATGAAAGTTAAGGCAGCCTTCTCCTAGTTAGGTGGGTAGTGGTCTTGCCCTTTTATCCCGGGTACTCGGGAATACCTTTTGTTTTTTTTGGTTCAGTTCAGTTATGCTCACCCACCTTGAGAAACATTGTAATTGCACCACATGAGTATTTTTTTTTTTTTGGGGAGGGAGGGGGGAATGCGTTTTATTTGAATATAAAAGAATGTGTTTGAAACTTCCTGGCTTAAGGGGACATCTGTACTACAAGTTCCTCCTCCCCTTGCTTTGGTGCCCTGCTACTTTTTGAACAGGTCCTGAAGTGTTGCCTCTGAGTAATGGGCTCAAATCTAGTTGTTGGATAAGTATCCTGCTCTTCGTGAGGTCCTTGGTTAAGTTTCTTAGGTTTGGTACATTTTTGTGATCTCATTATAATAGTACATTTAACGAGGAGAATAATGAAAGACCTTCGTCAAAAAGGTGTTTTTTATTCCAAAATGGCTGTCGTAGCTCCTTCCTATATTAAAGTATCTCTCTTTACTTTGGCTCTCTTTCTCTTCTGGAAGCAAAAGGGCTAGAACAAAGATCTGTCAATTCTTGCTTCAGAGTCCCTTGTGAATATTGCAGTAGGAGATTCTTGTTCGTACCCCTATTGTGGAGTATTCTTCATGTTATTGAGGATCTTGTTCAGTGTCAAGATACAACCACCTCAAGGAGTTCATATATTCCATCTCTGAAGTATGAGAGGGAATATATTTTGCACTTTAGCATTTGCTCTCGCATTGGATTATGTCAAATGTTTCTGCAAACGACCTTTTGAATCTCACTTGAATAATGTCGAAACTTGAACCACTACGCGTTCAGGTTTGCTCCTCCCTGAAATGGTATTTGCATCACTTGAGGTAGTTTCAGATATACTTTTAAACTAATGAAGTTTAATTCCAAGGCATATTTAGGTAATGGAACTTATTATGCCTCTCAGCGTGTTTTGACATTTCTATGTTCTTGTCAAAGCAGGCTATATTCCTTAAGACAATTGGAGATCAATAGTCAATTCTTTAATATGCTTGTCTCATGCATACTGGATAGTGGATACCATGGTTTCCCTGCCTTATCTAAAGCGATCAAGCAGTGTAGATCTTTTCTTAAAAGAACTCAGGTTTTTAGATCTCTCTCGGAGAAGTATGAAAGAAAAGTGCATGCGTCAAATCTTCTAAAGGATTTAGATAGGCTGATATAGCATGTGTACACTCACATGAAAAACACACCAGAATATTGAAGGTACAAATTCACATACGTAAGAATATTCCAACTCTGTCTACTAAGAAATTACACTTATGTATGTATGGGTACACTGTAGTGTCATTTGTCAATCATTGCATTTGCATACTTGACAGCTTAAGTAGTTGTCAGATAAACTTTATAATCATGTGATTAAAACATATAGAACAAGTAAAATTACCAACGCCCCTGTTTGATAACTATAGTAAAGTTTTAATGACAAAAACAAAATGTTCACTTCAATTTGGGTCTGAATAGAGCATAGTGGTTGCAAATCCATATAGCCAGACCCAACTTTTTTCGAGGTTAAGCTAGTTGTTTGATTGATTGTTTATTGCATCACTACTACTTGGGTGCCTTTTCAATCGGAAACTTGATTAACATGTTGCTACATTCTAACAGACCAGAAGACATCTGAACTTATCATGGTTTAGAGCCCTTGAAATATTATTCATGTTAGCCTTCACAAAAGTTTTTAAAAAAAGGTATTCCTTATGTTAGCTTATTATCGGGCTTGATGTGGCAGTTAGGACGTGTACCTTGAGTTAGATGAGCAATCCAGGATGAAAAGAGATCGAAATATAGAGTTATATCCTTTTCCATTGGCTGGAGATCCATTACATAATTAAGTTTTAAGAAGAGTATCTATGGATATATCTCTAGAATACAATTGTTTGATAAGTTTCCATGGTCTAGCTTTCAACACAAAATTGGATATGAAACTTGATGTTACTTTCTCAAAAAAAAATAAACACAAAATTAGAGATGAAACTTGTCTTGGGAGATGAAATTACATTTTTTTTTAAAACTAAGGGAGATTGGAGAATAAGCGTGCATTTGTTAGAGAAATGAGAAATGAAGTTCTTCATTTCCAATTGGACAACCTTTTTCCGACATTTAGTCGAAGAAGATGGTGTTTATCGGTGCCTATAAGACACTGTCCAAATGCCTGTGATTGTGTTTGCATTTGTCAAAGAAATATGACAGATGAAGTTTTTCATTTCCAATTGGACAATCTTTTCCGACATTTAGTTGAAGAAGATAGTATTTGTGGGTGAATATAAGACGCTGTCAGAATGCTTGTGATAGGCATGGACATATCTAGTGGCTCTGGTGTTGCTTAAGTGTGCTGTTGCAATTTAGATGGACCACTTTGCTGTAATGGCACAAGATTTTTGAATGCAATTCTTCCAAGTGCGAGGAATGAGTAGTGTGTTGATGAGTAGCTTGCATGACTTGAGGAAAATAGATGGGAACTTGTCAAGTACCAAAGTTGATGCTATAAAGGTTGTCCCAGTTGCAATCTTCATGTCGAATAAGGCTCGTAGCTTGGCATGTGTAGCCACTCTTGGAAATCACATCCAATTATAATATATTCAAAAATCGATTTTAGGTTGTTTGGAAAAGGAAACAACCTGGCATATTTCCCCTGAAAAACTATCTATTCACTTCTTAGCAATTTATTTTTTTGGCAGTATTGATATCTTAGCAATACTTTCTGAATTGCATGTGTTTTGCAAAATAGAAATACACTGCTCCTAGTTGTGGTTTAGCATGTGTGGTGTTGTGGGCTACTTGAGAGCATTTTACTGTGTTTTGCAGGGAGATGATCCAGCACCGACCCTACACACAGAAAGTTGATGTTTATAGTTTTGGCATTGTTCTGTGGGAGCTTCTAACGGGGATGCTTCCCTTCCAGAACATGACTGCTGTGCAGGCAGCTTTTGCAGTTGTCAACAAAGGCGTCCGTCCAACCATCCCCAATGATTGTTTACCTGTACTAGGTGAAATCATGACTCGCTGCTGGGATGGTAACCCTGACAATAGACCACCCTTCTCTCAGGTGGTCAGAATGCTCGAGGCTGCAGAAATAGAAATCTTAACAACAGTCAGAAAGGCCCGTTTCAGGTGCTGCATCAGTCAACCCATGACCACAGATTGATATGGAAAGAGAAACTGTAGGCAGTAAAGGATTTGGGAAGGCTAAACAGAAGTGATTCAAAGTCTGGCATGTGTATGTATCTATGAGGCATAATTTCTTTATTCAGATAGAAAGAAGGGGAGAAAGTTATGGCAAGAAACTGTTTGATTTTGTGTTGTATCTTCTTTTGTTTTCCTTTTCTTCTTGAATTTAAGATTCTGATTAGTGATAATAGAATAGTAAGTGTATTTATACATATCTCTGTATTTTATTTTACTTTGATAAAATTTTATCAGGTGCTGAAGACGTTACATGCAGATCCACCCTGACCCCATAGATTACCTTTCGCATCTCTGATGCTTTATTTTATTATTATGCAGAAAATGTGGTAGGTCTTATCTTTCTTTTTTCTTCTAAATGTAATATATAGAAATGAGATAAGTTGACCTTCAGGAAGACGTGTGTGTGGTGTTGTGGTATACTATTTATTACCAAACATCATGCTTTCAACTGTTTTTGGTTGAATCTTGATTGATTATAAATGATTTAGCTGCAAATGAGAGGAAGTTTCATAAAATCCAATCTTACACAGGTAATTGAAAGTGATACAAACATATTCATCACTTCTACACAAGTAAAATGAAATAAGTCCAAACTTTAGACATCGTGAGTATCAATTAGTTCCCTACCCTTTGTCTCTACTGATAAGAGCAGAACACTGACTGCTGATAAAACTAGAACTGCTTCGAAACATACGATTGCAGCCGTCTGATGACACCCTCTTACCAGTTGCACCACCACTATAGGAGAAATCATGGGCCCTATTCTTCCCACAGAATTTGCAACTCCAATACCTGTTGACCTTACAGACGTTGGATATATCTGTATACAAGACATTAAAATGAGATAGTTGTCAACATATACTAACAACTAACAAGAAGAAGAGAGATTTCCACTTTTCTTTCAAATTCAATACATGCATCTGGCTTGAGAGTCAGGTGGTTCCAAATACACACCACTCTACCTGTTCGAGGTCTAAGAACGACTGGAAAGCTTTAAACTTCTTCAAATAAATGAAACATAATCTTGAAGTCAACTTTCTTATATATGCATCAAATTTGACTGGATGGAAACAGGAATGAGTATTCCTGTCTACAAATTTGCATTATTACAAGGAATGATAGTTACCTCTCGACAATAGACACCCACAATGGCAAAGCTTCCAGAAATGAAAGTACGAGCACCAAATAACAAGGCAGTAGTCAAAGCAGGTAGTTGAGGTGCAACAAGCGGTAAAATGCTCAGGAAGCCTAAACCACACATAAGTGCCACACTGAATTTCCGACCAACTTTATCCACCATTATAGCTGCTACAAGAGTTCCAGGGATCTCTGAGAGACCAAAAATAGAATAAATTGGATTTTAGAACCTGTAAACTTTTGACTAGTTGAGATGAATTTGACACAAGTAAAGAGAAGATTGTTTTACCTGCAAGACTATTGATGAGCACATTTGTATAAAGGCTCTGATCATCATTCAGGTTCAAAGCAATTGACGAATGTTGACATTGTCCACTGCTAAACAGTGAGGTCAGCAATATAATGCCATAATATGAGAAGGCATTTCCAATAAAAACCACCCATATGAGGAGGGTATTTCTAAGTAACGCGGGGGACAAAAGCATTAGTAGTGATGAGAAGCCTGATTTAAGAATCGAGACTTTGATTTTCCCAGGGGAAAGCAATTCCTCATGCACCTCAGTCACTTGAGAAGATACGAGCTTTCCAGGGGGAAGTTGTGTCTTATTGACGACAGCTATTTTCTTCAGAATATCATAGGCATCTCTTGTCCTACCTATGGCACACAGATATCTAGGAGATTCTACTGTAAATACAAATAACAAAAGTGCTGCAAATGATGGTATGGACGATAAAGCCAGTAACCATCTCCAACCTAATCTTGGCATAATCATCTGCAACATAAACAAAGAGAATGCCATATGTTTTTGATGTTCCGTGATCTTGATAGTGGCACCAACCTCAGTAAAACTCTTAATTTAATCATATTTTCCTTTGCAAGAACATTCATGTATGAATATGTATATAACTTATAAGCAGCAACTTACAACGTAGTTATACTATTTCGAAAAAGAATAGTATCTAGAGATTATACTGAGTCACTTACTTCCACAACACATCTGCATATTTTTTGTTAACATAACTTTAAGCATATACAGACATGCTATATGTAAATTAAATATAAATACCAAGATCTTGAACATGAGAATCCTACATAACATTGTGATTAGAAGCGTACCTGATGCGGAAGACATTCTTGCAGTAGGGATGAACAAGGATTACTTCCAATAAATTAATTTCTTTTTCATTGGGGCGGCAGGGATGAAGTGGAGGCTTGCCTCTAGAGACTTGTGTGATAAGAAGGTACCACCTAAACTTAAAGTAAGTTCTATAGAGTGGTAGTTAGATCGTCCTTGTTGTATGGGGTGGAGTGATGGACAGTCCAAGGACTCACATGTTCAAAAAATGCATGTTGTGGAGATGAGGATATTGAGATGGATGTGTGGGCATATTAGGCTTGTTAGTGCCTGTCGTATTACCCTAGTAGTTCTGGCCATATGTTGTTTATTGTGTTTCAATTATCACTTGCTATTGTTCTTTCTTGTAGGCTTTACACTAATTTTCTTACTAACCGCTATGCTTTCTTCATTCTTTCAGAAACAGCCCTAGTGGAAGGAATTTCAGTGGGTATGTTGTTATTTTCCCTTTCTAACGTCTGATAAAACGTCACAGTGGCTTGAGTGATGGAAAATTCCTACAGAGGTGGTAACTGTAATGGGTAGAGTAGAGAGGACCAATTTATTTGGAGGCGCAATTAAATGGAAGATGAAGAAAAGCAAATTGAAAAACATTTCATATTAGTAAAGCAAAAGAAATGTACCAGTGCTAATAGAGCCTCAAGTATTGTTCCAATTGTCCAAAAACCTGCATAAATCATCATCCACATTCCCCTATTTTGTGAAGGCACAAATTCAAGAAACCAAGATCCATGTACAAGTCCACCCCCTGCTCCAAATCCAACCATCATACGCCCAGCAAGCAACCAATTATAATTCGGAGAAAAGATACAGAGTGTAGCACATACAGCCGTCACTATCGCTATACTTAAAAGCCCCTTCCTGTTCGTTAATTAACAACACATAATGAAAAATTAGATTCTTCCCAAACATCAAAATACAAATAAAATTATACATTTCTTGCCTTCTTCCATAACAATCTGTGATAAACCCCCAAAATAAAGCTCCGATAAGCATGCCAACGAAAACGACACTACTCATAAGACTTTCTTGAGTAGGAGAAAGAGACCATTGGGACCTTAAAGCAGGTCCTATAAAAGAGAGAATCATAGTCTCTACTGCTTCTGAAATAGAACCAAGACCTGCATAACACAATACCATATACTGAAATTTACCAATTCCAACTGATGTGAGTGCTTCTTCCATTGTGTACACAGAACCATCATCTTCTTCAACTTGCTCTATTGCCATCTCCAAAGTGGGAGGAAAAAAATAATCATCAAGATATTTCTTTTATATTACCCTTATTAATAAGCCAACAACAACCAGTGGTACTAAAATTTCAGTGGCTGCTATTGAGTACTTCATCTTTTGTGGGCCTACTTTTTTACTTCTTTTTCCCTGCCTTTTGCCAACGACCGAACCCTTTCAAAGTTCTTTCTACCCCTGCAAATTGCAATCTCTCTCCTTCTCGCTAAGCTTCCCTTTTTCTCTTCTCCAGCTTTCTGTCCTATTTTCCTCTTTCACTTTGATTTCTCGCTCTCTTATTTTTTTTCTTTGCTTTCTTATCATCTTCCTCCAGGAGTTTTGGTTAAACTTTGTTACGCTGGGATCGCCGTAAGATTTAGGTTTTTTTTTTGTTTGAATTTTGGGTTCTGTTTGTTTGATTTTATGTTCGATTGTTTTGATATTGCTTCCATTTGGATATTCTATTGGCTTGTTTATTAAGTGCATAATTTCACACTGATAGACCAGTAGTGTTTGATAATATAGCTGAAACAACAAAATAATATTTTTTTCCTTACTGGTTTTTCCCTTTTCTTAATCTTCTTCCTTCAATGTATCTTCTCCTTTGGTGCTTTTACAAAATACTCCTGGTTCTGGATTCCAGAGACTAATATAATTTTTTTGTTCTTATATTTTATTAGAGATGAAACATCAATTTAAATTTTGAGCACCAAGTTCTGAAATTTTTATTGTTCTCCATTTCAATTGATCCAGGTGTTAAGATTATGCAATTAAAGTATTTCAGTTTGTTATAATTAGTTAGAAGTTAGTTAGATGTGTTACAAAATAGGGAATCAAGTTAGTTAGACTGTTTCTTCTAGATTGTTCCAATTACAGTTTGTATATATGTAACACTTTGTAAAGACTGATTCATTCAATCAAAAATTACATAGCTTCATGCTATTCTTCTCTAGTTTCAGTTTCCTCCATGTGAGCTTAGCTTTCATCAATGGAGTCTCTCAGCTTGTGTTGCTGATTTCATCATGGTATCAGAGCACAGAAATTGCTCGCAAGTTCTCTTCCGCATCTAATCCTTCGTGAGATTTTTTTCTGGTTTGTGATTGATCAATATTTTTTGAAGAAATTGCATTGTGAATTCCTCTATTGTTTCTGCCATTTCCGATCTTCATTTGATTTTCTCCTCTCTATTATCTGGAGGATTCATCTTGTTCTTGTTCGATTGTCACGATTGGATCTGTATTTGTTTCATGTTGTTATTAGTTGATTGTCGAGTGATTGAATCTCTTCGCGATTCTCAATATGGTTTATCTCCAAGCTGAAGTTACTTCGAGTTCCTCTCATCTTCATGCTGATCCCACATCAGTTCGAATAGATTTTGCCAGTCCTCTTTACTTACATCCATCAGAAAGTGCTGGATCTTCTCTATTGCCTGCAGTTTTTGATGGTTCAGGTTACAGATCTTGGAGAAGAGCTATACTTAGAGCTCTATCAGTGAAAAACAAAACAGGATTTATTAATGGAACAATTGTGCGACCTGCTCCTGTTGATCCTGGTTTTCTGCAATAGGAAAGATGTGATGACATGGTAACTTCTTGGATCCTGAATTCATTGTCTCCTGATCTACGTGACAGTCTGCAGTATGTAAACAATGCTTATGAACTTTGGGCAGAGTTGGAAGAAAGGTACGATCAAACCAATGGGTGCAAACTATATCAGCTACAGAAAGAGATCAATGACCTTGTCCAAGGTCCTCTAGACATTACTGGCTATTATACAAGAATGAAGAAGTTGTGGAAAGAAATGAGCACTATAGATGTCAATTCTCAGTGTACGTGTGTGTGCACTTGTGGTGGTAAGACCAAGTTGCACAAAGCTGAACAAGACAAGAGACTCATACACTTCTTAATGAGTTTAAATGAGATGTATACATCCATCAGAGGCAATATCCTTATGATGAGTACACTTCCAAGTATGGCACAGAGTTTTGCCATCTTATCCCAAGAGGAGAAGCAAAGGGAAGTAAAGCCTAACAATCATACAGTTCTTGACTCTACCTCACTAAATGCCTATGGCCAGTCTAGCAATAGTGCAGTACTCAAAGATCTTAATACTAACTACAGTTCCACTAGGGGAGGTGGAAACAACTCTGGAAACTTCAATAATAACAATGTGTTTAGGGCAGTTCTAGCACTACCAGGTCCTCTTTGTTTTGTGATTACTGCAAGAGATCAGGACACACAAATGACAGGTGTTACAAACTTCATGGCTACCCACCCAACTCACGGTTTCCAAAAGGGAAGAGATCAGGTTCAGCAGAAAATGTGTGTGCTTTTGAGATGAATGGGCACCAGAATGAGGAGGATCCTGCACTGAAGAAACAAATGCCATTGAACTTGTCTAAAGTCCAATATGAACAGTTACTGAATATTTTGGGAACTCTGCAGATTGGCAATGGGAATTCTAACTCAGACAATTCAGACAATATGATGAGTGGAGCTGTGAACTTGGCAGGTATACTTGCTTGCTACTCTTCTATAACTGAAATAAGTGATCTATCTTGTAGGTGTGCTAAACTAACTGCTGGTTCTTGGATCATAGATTCTGGTGCATCACATCACATGACCTACAACAAAACCATCCTTAAAAACATTAGACCACTACCTTACCCTTTCTTGATTACCTTACCTAGTGGATACAAAGTTAAAGTAATTGAAACTGGAGATGCTTGTTTGAATCCAACTTTAACCATATGCAATGTACTGTTTGTACCTAGTTTTAAATTCAATTTAATATATGTCCACTGTTTGTCCCTACAACTTAAATGGACAATCAGTTTTAACAACTTTTCTTATTCACTGCAAGGCCCTTCTCTGAAGAGCCCTCTGGAGATTAGTAAAGCCAAAAATGGCATATACTTCCTATGTCTCAGGTGCGATAATTGCCATGCATCTCTTGTTGGTAATGTTTCATCCCATGTTGCTAGTTGTCCTTCTCATTGTACCAGTCAAGCTTCCATTTCCCCATCTCCTTCTGTAAAATACTCTTACAAGATCAATAAAGAAGCTTGTTCAATTGTTGATAATATCAGCCCTATACAACAATATAATCCCAAAAGAATTGGCTAGGGAAAAGACTAAAATGCCCTTAATGATTCCCGGACGGATTTCCTTGTCAACTGCCCAACTTCAAAGGGCCATAACTCACTCATACGAACTCAGAATTGAGCAAACTCGATGGCGTTGGAAAGATCATTCCATAAGCTTCACAACCATAACTGGAACTACTCCTAACTCATCCTGAGCTGGGAGTTACGACTGCTCAAAGTTGGCCAAAAATCACTGGTTTCTACACTTAGCCAAATTTTCCAGATTTTCAAATCCTAAGCCTCTTCTTAGCTATTTCAATTTGTCGGATGTTACAAATTGGATTGTGAATTCCTCTATTGTTTCTGCCATTTCCGATCTTCATTTGATTTTCTCCTCTCTATTATCTGGAGGATTCATCTTATTCTTGTTCGATTGTCACGATTGGATCTGCATTTGTTACGTGTTGTTATTGGTTGATTGTCGAGTGATTGAATCTTTTCGTGATTCTCAATATGGTTGATCTCCAAGCTGAAGCTACCTCGAGCTCTCATTTTTATGCTGATCCCACATCAGTTCGAATAGATTTTGCCAGTCCTCTTTACTTACGTCCATCAGAAAGTGCTGGATCTTCTCTATTGCCTGCAGTTTTTGATGGTACAGGTTACAGATCTTAGAGAAGAGCTATACTTAGAGCTCTATCAGTGAAAAGCAAAACAGAATTCATTAATGGAACAATTGTGCGACCTGCTCTTGTTGATCCTGGCTTTCTGCAATGGGAAAGATGTGATGACATGGTAACTTCTTGGATCCTGAATTCATTGTCTCCTGATCTACGTGACAGTCTGCAGTATGTAAACAATGCTCATGAACTTTGGGCAGAGTTGGAAGAAAGGTACGATCAAACCAATGGGTGTAAACTATATCAGCTATAGAAAGAGATCAATGACCTTGTCCAAGGTCCTCTAGACATTACTGGCTATTATACAAGAATGAAGAAGTTGTGGGAAGAAATGAGCACTATAGATGTCAATTCTCAGTGTACATGTATGTGCACTTGTGGTGGTAAGACCAAGTTGCACAAAGCTGAACAGGACAAGAGACTCATACATTTCTTAATGGGTTTAAATGAGTTGTATACATCCAGAGGCAATATCCTTATGATGAGTATACTTCCAAGTATGGCGCATGTTTTTGCCATCTTATCCCAAGAGGAGAAGCAAAGGGAAGTGAAGCCTAACAATCACACAGTTCTTGACTATACCTCACTAAATGCCTATGGCCAGTCTAGCAATAGTGCAGTACTCAAAGATCTTAAGACTAACTACAGTTCCACTAGGGGAGGTGGAAACAACTCTGGAAACTTCAATAATAACAATGTGTTTAGGGGCAGTTCTAGCACTACCAAGTCCTCTTTGTTTTGTGATTACTGCAAGAGATCAGGACACACAAAGGACAGGTGTTACAAACTTCATGGCTACCCACCCAACTCACGGTTTCCAAAGGGGAAGGGATCAGGTTCAGCAGGAAATGTGTGTGCTTCTGAGATGAATGGGCACCGGAATGAGGAGGATCCTGCACTGAAGAAACAAATTCCATTGAACTTGTCTAAAGTCCAATATGAACAACTACTGAATCTTTTGGGAACTCTGCAGATTGGCAATGGGAATTCTAACTCAGACAATTCAGACAATATGATGAGTGGAGCTGTGAACTTGGCAAGTATACTTGCTTGCTACTCTTCTATAACTGAAATAGGTGATCTATCTTGTAGGTGTGCTAAACTAACTGCTGGTTCTTGGATCATAGATTCTGGTGCATCACATCACATGACCTACAACAAAACCATCCTTAAAAACATTAGACCACTACCTTACCCTTTCTTGATTACCTTACCTAATGGATACAAAGTTAAAGTAATTGAAAGTGGAGATGCTTGTTTGAATCCAGCTTTAACCATATGCAATGTACTGTTTGTTCCTAGTTTTAAATTCAATTTAATATCTGTCCATTGTTTGGCCCTACAACTTAAAGGGGCAGTCAGTTTTAACAACTTCTCTTGTTCACTGCAGGGCCCTTCTCTGAAGAGCCCTCTGGAGATTGGTAAAGCCAAAAATGGCCTATACTTCCTCTGTCTCAAGTGCCATAATTGCCATGCACCTCTTGTTGGTAATGTTTCATCCCATGTTGCTAGTTTTCCTTCTCATTGTACCAGTCAAGCTTCCCTTTCCCCATCTCCTTCTGTAAAATACTCTTACAAGATCAATAAAGAAGCTTGTTCAATTGTTGATTGTCCTTATCTTACTGATAACCATGTTTCTCATTCTGCTAATTTTTTACCTACATCTCATACTCATGATACTGAACTCTTGTGGCATGCTAGACTTGGACATGTTCCTTTTATAAAAATGAAGAGTATCTCTACTATACCAATAAGTTTTTCTGCTAGACAACCTTTTACATGTACCATATGCCCTATGGCAAGACAAGCTAGAATGCCTTTCCAGGAAAGCTCTACCACCACTAGAGAACATTTTGAGCTATTACACATTGATCTATGAGGGCCTTATCATGTACCTACACATGATGGCTATAGTTATTTTTTGACGATGGTAGATGATCATAGTAGATCAACTTGGACACAGCTGATCGGGTGCAAGAGTAATGCACTACAGGTTGTGAAGGCTTTTGTATCTCTCATAGAAAACCAATTTCAAACCAAGTTGAAAACCATTAGGTTTGATAATGGTCTAGAATTCACAAGTGGTGAGGCAACCAGTTTCTTTCAAGAAAAGGGAATAATACACCAAAGATCATGTCTTTATACCCCTCAACATAATGGTGTAGTAGAAAGGAAACACAAATATCTTTTGGAGACATCAAGGGCACTTCTTTATCAATCATAACTACCCATGAGATATTGGGGAGAGTGTGTCCTAACTGCTACCTACATCATTAACAGACTACTTACAAAAATACTGAAAAATAAGTCACCATATGAATTGTTGTACAAAAGAAAGCCTACTTATTCTCACCTTAGGAGTTTTGGATGTCTTTGTTTCCCCACTACTTTGAAAACTCACAAAGATAAATTTGAGCCAAGGGCAACATCTCACATCTTTATTTGATACCTTTTCAACACTAAAGGCTACAAGGTACTAGACTTAGCTACCAAAAGAGTTCATGTATCTAGAGATGTTCTTTTTCATGAGGCTATTTTTCCTTTTGTTGTTGCTCCTAATGGTTTTAGTTTTGATTCTGTCTTAAAGTTGCTTGTCCATTCTGATAAATTGTCTTCTATACCTAGTCAGATAAGTATTTTTGCTAATGATGAATTGCTGGAAACAAATGCATCTCCTGAAATTGCTAAAAACCATCCTGAACTTGTTCTTAACCAAGACACCAACAACACTGCCCAGTCCTCATCCTTGCCCCATCCTCATAATTTTGTCCCCACTAATGCACCATCAATACATGCACCTAGGAGAACCACTAGGTCCATTCACACCCCTAACTACTTGAAAGAATACAGTTACAATTTGCCCAAATTGCATTCCCTTACACATGTCTCAAATGCTCCTAATCCACACCATTCCCTAGCTTTTTTTTATCTCAAACCATAACCATGTATGCTTTACTACCTTGTGTTCTAATAGCCAGCAGTTAGTGAAGACCATCTCACATGAGTGTGAACTTGGTTCTTATGAAGAAGCAATCATGAATCCTGCCTGGCAAATGGCCATGACACAAGAGTTTGAAGCTTTATACACAAATGACACATGGGAGCTGGTTCCATTGCCTAAGGACAAGAAGCCCATTGGCTGCAAGTGGGTATATAAAATTAAACACAAGGCAGATGGGAGTGTGGAAAGATTCAAGGCTAGATTAGTAGTCAAGGGATACACTCAACAAGCCGGGATAGACTACACTGAGACTTTCTCACCCGTAGTCAAGATGACCACTGTTAGAACCTTGGTCTCTTTGGCTGTGAAGAGAGGATGGGACATGTACCAGTTGGGTGTGAACAATGCCTTTCTACATGGTGATTTGCATGAAGAGGTGTACATGGAATTGCCACAAGGCCTGATGGTGGACAATAACAACATGGTTTGTAGACTTAAAAAGTCACTTTATGGCCTAAAGCAAGCAAGCAAGAAATGGTATGACAAACTAGCAAGTAGTCTTTGTTCCAAGGGATACACACAGTCAAACAGTGACTATTCACTGTTTTATAAAAGGAAGGAGTGTTCCTTAGTATTTGTTGTTATCTATGTTGATGATGTGATCTTGACAGGTACTGATTTAGAGGAAATTACTTCACTGAAGGCTTTTTTGCATGATCAGTTTAAGATAAAAGACCTTGGTAAGCTGCACTATTTTCTGGGACTAGAAATATTGTACAGACAAGATGGTGTTCTGATTTCCCAAAGGAAATTCACTACTGACCTGCTAAAAGAGCATGACTTCATGAACTGCAAAGTTACTTCATCACCTCTTGATTCTACTGAAAAGCTTAAAGCTACAGATGGCAAGTTACTGTCAGATCCCACTCACTATAGAAAACTGGTGGGAAAGCTTAATTTCCTCACAAACACTAGGATGGATATAGCTTATAATGTTCAACATCTCAGTCAATTCATGTAGACACCCAGGGAACCACACTTGAAGGCTGTTTATCATGTCCTTAGATATCTAAATCAAGATCCTACATTAGGAATTTTTATCTCAAACACACCTGAATTTACTGTCAGCGCTTATTATGATTCAGATTGGACAGCTTGCCCTGACTCTAGGAAATTTGTCAGTGGGTACCTGGTCCTTATGGGTGATAGTCCCATTAGTTGGAAGTCCAAGAAACAGGCCACAGTGTCCTTATCATCAGCTGAAGCAGAATATAGAGTTGTGAGACAAGTGGTGGGAGAGTTGGTATGGTTTGAGAGATTACTTGTTGAATTGACAGTGGAATGTCCCCTGCCTATACGTGTGTTTTGTGATAGTCAGGCAACAGTTCACATTGCCAAAAATCCAGTATTCCATGAGAGGACAAAGCATAAGAAGTGGATTGCCATTTTGTTAGGGATAAGATCCAACAGGGACTAGTTGTACTTCAGCACATCTCCACCAACTCACAACTTGCAGATATCTTCACTAAGGCACTAACTGGAGTCAAACATGCCACGATTTTGAGCAAGTTGTCTGCGATTAGTTCACCTCCAACTTGAGGGGGGCTGTTGAGATTATGCAATTAAAGTAATTCAGTTTGTTATAATTAGTTAGAAGTTAGTTAGATGTGTTACAAAATAGGGAATCAAGTTAGTTAGATTGTTTCTTCTAGATTGTTCCAATTACAGTTTGTATATATGTAACACTTTGTAAAGACTGATTCATTCATTAAATTACATAGCTTCATGCTATTCTTCTCTCTAGTTTCAGTTTCCTCCATGTGAGCTTAGCTTTCATCAATGGAGTCTCTCAACTTGTGTTGCTGATTTCATCACCTGGAGTTCTACATCATACGTGGAAGTGGAAATTTGAAACGACATCATGACACACCTCCAAAGAATGAAGAAGGTATCATCGAATGTGTAAAGGTGAAGGAATTGTTGTGTCTCATTGAGAAAAGTTCTAAAATTTTACTATTCTCCATTCCTATTGTTCTGTCAGATGAAGGAACATGACATGTCCCTTGATTTTTCAAAATGCTTATTATACTTCTATGAATACTTCGACATTTGTTAACTAAATGAGATACTATTGTTTCATACATGAGTATTTCTGAAAATAGAGTAATGCACCTGTTGTTTCAATTGTTCTCTGGTGATTTCTGGAAACAGAAAAAATGAACAAAAAACTTGTTTGTATTACAGGATTTCCGTCGACTTTATTGGAATTTGCTTCCTCTTTTTGTGGTTTTACAAGTCGAAAAGCAATGATG